CACTGGGGGCAGTGAGAAAGTAGAACAGGAGGGGGGCAAACAGCCAACACTACAGCTACCAGGCAGCCTGGCTCTGATCCCATCTAAGCAACTAAATGCAAGTCACATAAACGTAAAGCAACAGGAGAAAGGACCAGATGGACTCTCCTGCCAGAAGTGCAATAAGCAAAGCAATTGGTTCCAGCCAGGACAGTGGCAGCAGCCAGCCTACAGCGGGGGATACCGTAGAGGCACTCGGGGTCATCCTGGCCTGAGCGCAGCCAGTTCCGGAAGAGGCGCAGGTGGTAGGAGCACTGGTGCAGATGATGTGCCAGTGTGGCATCCAAGGAGACCGGCCGGCACCCTGGGCAGTCAGAGGAAAAACCGCGCAGCAACCGGACCACAGGGTGCTGGTCATCCAGCAGCTCTGGACAGGGTAAGGGGCCACAGGAGGAAGCACGAGGGTAAAGAAAGAGAAGAGGGAGAGACAATGAGGGGGCACTGACTAGCACAGCATTACTGGGAAGTGGGGGCCACGTAAATCCAAGGTGAGCTAAGAAAGAAGGCAAGATGGTCAGGGCCACTGGGCATTTCTCACAGGCAAGAACAGTGTTGGCAAAAAAGAGGGATGAAGGAGATAAGGGTTCATCACACAGAAAGGCCCTGCCCTTCCTCCTGGAGCATAACTCAGTCAGGGCTGGCAGCACTCACATCCTCTGGACAGGGATGAGCTGGCAGTTCTGTGCTAAGAACCTGTACTGGGGCTCCAGTGGCCCTGATCAGTTCATTCTGAACAAACTAATTGGAGAAAGGCATTTACAAGGTGGGGCAGAGATGAAATGATTCAAAATCACTTAGAGAAGTGGGTCAAAGATGGCATTGGGTATCAAGGTAAGTCTAAAGCTAAAAAGACTCCTGAAAGCTCAGGCTAGGCCTCTGGATTAGACACTAAGACAGCCTCTGACAGGGCTGCTGTCAGGCTGCTAGCACAGAGCACTAGTAGGGAACGGAGTGAAGGACTGCTTTAAAACTCACATAAACTAGGCATGGTGGTACACACCTGTAATCCCAGCACTTGGGAGGCTGAGGCAGGAGGACTGCTAAGAGTTCAAGGCCAGCCTACAAGTACATACCAAGATTTTATCTCTAGATAAATAAACCAGTGCATATAGAAAATGAAACACTGACTAACCATCTTTACCTTACTCTTGTTATAATAAACACATATTTTTAAAATATCCAGAAGTATCAGGACCAGGGGACACAATCCTTTCCAGAAACCAAAGTGACATGATTTTATTTGTCTTGCCACTGCTGATGTGTCTCAATGCAGTGTTTTCAGCTGGTGAGTGGAAAATCTTTGATTCTAGGTCCCTCGTCATTCTGACTGCTTGGCAAACTGTGGATGCACGGCATTGGCTGCAAAAGACTGGAGGCAGTAGGCTGTGGTAGGAGATACCCGGGGAACAACAGGAAAGATCTTAGAGAAAAGGGATGGAATCTAAAGGCCTGATGTGAGGGCATTAAGAGCTTGAGTGGGGATGTTGGTATAGGGAAGGTAAGATCAAGGCAGCTGAGGATGACTATTCAGAACTTCCAGACCAGAACTGGTTCTACAGGGTGATACCACGAGAATATGGCTTTCAGACCTTAGCCTAGTCGTCAGGAGAGAGTTCGGTTCTCTCCAGGCTAGAATGGTGAGCACTGACTGTTTCAATAGTCACACAGTTGTGTGGATCTCTGGAAGATAATGGGCTTGACAAACCCATTATGTATGCTCTGACATTTAGGTGAGTGCAAGCCAGTGTCTCTTTCTCACTTTATTAATTTGCTTTGGTGAGGTCAGCATACAGATCAGTAACAGGCTACACTATATGCTGGGTATTATCATTTGACATCATAGAAACTTATGAGAGAAGAGGCAATGTCGGACTGAGGGTTGCTTTTCAATCAAAGAATGGAGGCAGCATTGCCTTGCCTCCTTTCCAAAGCCAAGTCCAATTTTCCCAGTTGCTAATTCCAAGCCAGACATCATGCAAGGAGATGGTGGTGATGAAACAGTAGGCTGGCACACTGCTGTGAATAATCTGCCACAAGCACTGTAGACAGCACCCACTCTGTAATTATTGGGTCAGTCAAGCAAGACCTTGGCCATAGGATAGAGCACTCAGACTGTCTTAAGGCCAAACTAAATCTAGGTAATCCTCAGCAAGAGACATTAGCTCCACATTTCTGTTCTACCAGAAGTAAGATTCCAGATTCTGGCTTCTCAAGCACACCAGCCTCCAAGCTCAAGCACAAAGAAAACAAAGGAGGCTGGAAGACTCCTGAGGAAGTATGCAAAATATTGGAGGAGATCTTGAATTTGTTCTCCTGCATTATACCTGAATTGTCCAGGTCTTTCTTCCTCTCCTCCTTATGGTAAAATTTATTCTTGTTTTCTTTAGCTGGTGAGTCTGCCAACCAAGGCTTCAATGAACTGGAGATATATAGGATCTGTCTTATGAACTTGGGTTTTTTCCTATGGTTCCTAAGAAACTAGGAGATATACGATTTAGCTCTGACTTCAGGGGCCTCCACTCCTGGTACTGGATTACGGGCTCTAAGTTCAAGTCCTTGGTTTGGTATTCTGGGTGAAGTACCTCAGGACTATGGCATACAAAGGCCAGAAAGGCTTCAAGCTAAATGAGCTGGTGGAACCAGGTCACTCTGAATGGGGACTTCTGTCACAGGCACAAGAGGAGCCTGAGGGTTTAGCCTGCTATACTGAGAAAAATCTAGGCTTGTCAACCCAGGGAGAGATTCCAGCAGTGCCAGTGGGGATGCATGATCTGACAGATCTAAAGTCTTGGTTGTGCCACTGGCTAGGAAGTAGGAGGTGTCAGCATGAGGAGGCCTTCTGCTTATCTTAGCTCTTGAAGAAAACCATATCTAACAAAAGTAGATTTACCTTGAGGACAAGATACAATGCAGAGAAAAAACTAAGGTCACAAAGGGTAAAATCTCAATATGGAGTGGGCCTTGGTTCTCCTGTCATATCCTACACAAACTCTATAACCCTTCAGTTTTGAGTTACAAGATCATCAAACTCACCCCATTAGTGTGGGCAAACCTAGTTCTTCAATATTCTTGAAACAGTATTCATTTGTAATCTTCCTAGGATCCCCAACAAACATCTCTACTCTTTATTTCTAGTTTCTGAGATGGCTCTGCCACAGGCAGGCTGGAGCCACATGGTAACTACATATAAAATTCACAGAGCCAGGCATGGTGATGCATACCTGTGATCTAGCACTTGGGAGTCTGAGGCAGGAGGATCACCATGAGTTCAAAGCCAGCCTGGGCTACATAGGAGTCCAAGGCCAGCCTGAACTACATATCAAGACTTTGTCTCAAACAACAACAACAACAAATCTTCAAGGTACAGAGCAGGGCACACATAAAGCCCTGGGTTCTATTCCCAATACCAAAAAAACAAAACAAAAATTCTCAAAACAAGAAGGAAAAAAACCTCAAAGTTTAGTCTTTTCTCCTTTATGTACTACCTACTATCTCCTACTCCTTTCTCTTTCTCTTTTATCCCACAGCACTATGGGCTGTTTCCTAAGCCCAGGCACTAGGTTAGTAGTAACAGAAAGCAGATGTCAGGAGCACAAGCACCACACGAATTACACACAATGGTGGGAGACAGGAGTATGGAGATGGGAAACTGTATACTGTATTCCTCACAAGTAGGGGCAGGAGTGGGGATTGCAGTGCTGCTCCAGCAAAGGAACAAGCTAGTCATCTGCCCCATCAAATGAGTTGGAGAAAAATAACCCCAGGAAGATGAAAATTATATACGCTGCGGATTACAGGGAGAAAAGAGGAGCAATGGGCCCAATCTAGGCAGTACTATTCTCTAAGAAGAGGAACCTTATCATGTCTGTGTATGGCCTGGCAGTCACACGAGAGGAAAGGGAGTGACTGAATCAATTTTGGGGTGGTGACGCTGACACAAAAGACATGATGGTCATGACAGTGGTTATGGAAGTGGTCCTGCGCTGCCACAGAGAGAGGTCAGCCAGGCTGCAGCCAAGGCTCGGGCTGTCTTAGGAAAGGTCCCAGCAAGGACACTGAGTGATGAGCTCATCTAGAGACAGCAGGGGGGGTGGGTAACACAGCGGGAGGAGAGGCAAAGTCAGTGTCAAAACTCAGCGGTTAAGTGTCTGGAAGTGACAATGGTGAGGAGGAATGATGTTGAGTCAAAAGCAAACGTACCGTTAGTCGGATGCTTTGCAAACGACACAGAAAATCGTTTTACGGCCGGGACAAACAAGAGCTCTGGGGAGAAAAGACATCATGGGGATTATACCCACCCTGTCCCCACCCTCTGCTTTGGAATTTGCCCGTAGTATACTGTTCTTTAATTAGCTACATGACCTGATCCCATCCCCGCCCTCAGACTGCCATGCCAGTCTCTTCCTCTTAACAGACTGTGCCATCTCTGCCCTAACACAGCCCCACAACGCTGACTTCACCACTACATCCTCCTGCCAGTCATTTATAAGAAACATCTGTGTGACCACCTTCTTCCCTCTTCTCACTCTCCTGCCCTATCATTTTGCTATCTGAGTTAAGCAACTTCCCCATCCCTAAGCTTGATTTCCTGGATTTCAGTCAAGGTTTGCTTGCATTTTTGTTGACCATGCATCATCTTCTTGATCCTCACCCCTACAGGCCAGAATCCGGGAAAGCATACAAACTGAGGCAGCAAGGCTGTATGTGGGAGATTATGAAGGGAGAAACGTAAATAAGTAGTATTTGTATGGTGACAGGGATGCAAATGGAAGGGAGCGAAGGGTCCTGGTTCTTCCATCTATTGTTGATGAAGAAAACTCGTTACGGGGCCTTTGTCAGTGCCATCTTAAGCATGAATGGTTCTGGAGCTGGGTCCTTGCCAGGAGACAAGTGAAAAAAGGAGTTGCCCCCCAAAACCCACCCACATACCATCTCGGTGCTTCAGACTGGCAGGTGATAGCTTTTTGCCATGGCTGCGAGCGTAGTCCTGAAGATTCGGGGCGCTGGAGGAGCCACCCAGCACTGTGGTGCTGAACAGCCCTGTGCACTGTGAGCCTGAAAGGCCAGGAGGGCGTTAGTAGCCACACAAAGCTGCACACAGAAGTCCACATAACACGGACAACACTGAGTCACACACAGCCAGTCAGCGCCACTGCCACACGGCCACGCCACAGAACCACAGACGTTGACTTTTGTCCACAGCCACACTAGGCAAGCAAAGTGGGGATTCTCCTTAGGACCTGCATGGCAGGGACAAGAGGCCACTCCAAATGCAAGGTTAGTCATATTAAGGGATTCGAAGCTACTGAAGAGATAGACTATGCTTCGTGGGTGGCTCTCAGAAATGCTAAAAGAATAGGCAGATCGCTCTAGATCTACCTAGATTTAATTCAGTGCCCTTTGCCCTAGAGGGTGGACTTGAGAAATGTAGAAATCTAGTTCCTTGTAAGTTTAAAAGGGAAAGGCTTGGGGTTTTTTTTGTTTGTTTTTGTTTCTGTTTGTTTTTGCTTGCTTGTTTGTTGGTTGACAGTGTCTAGCTTTGTAGTCCAGAATGGACTTGAACTTGCAAATCCTCCTGCCTCAGCCTCCCTAGTGCTCAGATTACAGATGTGTACCACCATGCCTGGCCTAGGAAAAACTTCGAAGCTCGAGACTGAATTTTGAGCACTCGGTTGTAACCATTCCAATTCTAAATTCTTCATTCAATATCCACTCCCATGAGGCCTTTTTTTATCCTTCCCAAGAATGAAAGCATGACACGTTGAATTTCTAAAGCTGGGAGAGACTCAGAGATCATCTAGTTCAACTGTCTCACATTAGAGATGACAAAATGAAGATTAAAAAGTCACAGAATATGTTAGGTGCTAAGGTGAACTTAAATCCAGGTCTCTGGGGACCAACTGTCTTTAGTTGAAAAAGAAATAATTTTTCTTTTCTTCTGGAAGAAACAGGATTTTATTTATTTTTTAATTATTTTTAAGGCAAGGTCTCACTATATAGTTGAGGCTGGCCTTAAATTCACTATGTAACCCAGGCTGGCCTTGGACTCATAGTGATTTTCCTACCTCAGCCTCCTGCATGCTGGGATTACAGACATGTTCCACTACACCAGGAAACAACATAACTTCTGGAGTCAACAAATTGGAAGGCATGGGAAAGGCTGTTGACTTATGTGGAACACTGTGCCTGTTGTGTGCTGAGCACCCTTCTGAGAAGGAATTCAGTAAACAACCAACAGGCATATTTTTCTCTGAAATGCATTGTCCTGTAAGTCTTATGAATCAAACTAGAGGCCCACATACACAAGTTCAAAGAAAGCAAAGAGAATTCTAGTGCCAATCAGGAGTAAACAGAACTTGAAAGATCTCTGAAGAGATTGAGCCAGGTCAGTCAGGGTCCCCGCTGCGTGATCTAGAGGAGGGCTGGAATTCCATGGTACCTTCTACTTCAGCTCATAAGAACACCACAGTTGGGGCTGAGGATTTAGCTCACTGGCATAAGCTCCTGCCTTGTAAGTGTCTGGTCACGAGTTTGATCCCCGGTACCAATTTAAAAAAAAGAATACCACAGTCAACACTGACATCTAAGTTTTGGGGATTTGCTCTTCTACCTCCAAATTCATATCAGTTAAGACTCTGAGTTTGGCTGAGGTCTTAACATTAATGGGGAGATGGATAGAGAGGATGCCAGTTCCTCTTGGTTCCACAAAAACCATTATTTCAAGTGTTTCAGAGAAACCATAAAGCTAAGGTGGCCAAAGATTTCTACTCTGAAATTTAAGATTTCTCTATTCAGCAACTTTCCTACCTTTCATGCTCACACAGGCTCTGGAAATGGGCTGTAGAGAGTAATATGGTTGCTAAATATATCTGCTTTTCTTCAGAGAAGCTAAAACTAGCTGGCTGTATCCCAGACCACCCCAGGTCTTGTCTTATATCTACTTCCTGCACTGAGTCACTCTCCAATGTGGTCATGCCAGCCTAGCTCTGCCCAGTCCTTACCTCATCTCAGAGGGGGAACTCTACATTACCACTGCCATCTGCCACCCAGCTCTGTGTCCATACCGCTCTGCTTTGTTCTTTCTGTCTTTCTTCCTTTTTTTCTTTTCTCTCTCTCTCTCTCTCTCTCTCTCTCTCTCTCTCTCTCTCTCTCTCCCCCCCCCCCCCCCAAGATTTCACTATACTGCTGCCCAGGCTGTTCTCAAATTGCTGGCTCAAGCATCCTTCTATCTCAGCCTCTCAAGTAGCTGAGACTATTGGTATACGCCACTATACCTTACTTTTTCTGTTTTATTTTGTTGTTGATTGTTTTTTGAGACAGAGTCTTGCTATGTAGTTCAGGCTGGCCTTGAACTTGCCAGTGATCCTCCTGTGCCAGACTCCTGAGTACTGACTGGGATTACATGTATACCACTAAATGCAGCCTCTGCTTTATTTTTAAAATTTTTAAAAATTTCTGTCTTTATTTTTTTGTCTTTTTGAGACCAGAGTCTTTCTATGCAGTTCAGGCTGGTCTTGAGTTCACTTGGTAGCTGGTTTCAAACTTGCAACAATCCTCCTGCCTCAACTTCCTGAGTATTGGGGTTACAGATATGTGCTACCATGCCAGGGTCTCTGCTTTATTCTTTCTTTTTTTACTTTTCTTTATTCTTAACATCAGTCTTTCACTTAACTGGTTAACTGGGCCAGATATACCTATTTACTTTCTCAGCCCACTTAAAACCTGAAACTTATTCTTTTTTTTTGCAGTACCGGGGATCAAACTTATGACCTTGCACTTGCCAGGCAGGCACTTATGCCTCTGAGCTAAATCCTTGGCCCGTTGAAACCTATTCTTTACTGGATTTTTGGAATAAGAAGTATATATCATAGATCTACACATTTATCATTCACTTTTCATGCCACAAACCATCTACCATATTTCAGGGATCTGAAGGCAACCTACTTTCATTAAATTAGCCTAGAAAATTGCCAAAACCTTCCTCCCCCTTGTGAGTCCAAATGCTGACCACTTTTGGGTCAAGAAATTAGGTGCCAAGGACAAAGGTAACACAAAAACAACAGGATCTAACTACAGAGAACAATAGGACAAAATAAAAGAGCCAAGGAAACAAGCTCAGAGCCCACATAGTCGTGTCTGACCTCCAGTTCTAGAACATGTGACACTGCGTTCGGAGACAGCCCCTCCCAAGGACTTCCTCCCCTCCCAAAGAATACAATACCCTCTGAAGCTCGGTCCTTCCTGTAGTCTGTGTTCTTAGAAAAGGTTGAATGATGTTCTCCATCCCTCTCCAGGGATCAAAACATCAAGAGGCTTTCTCTCAAAGTCATGAGAAAAGCCTCTGTCACTACACCAGTCTCAGATTTGGCCCTCAGTCTTCCGGAAGGAAAGGAAAAAAGTTACAGGATTAGGACAGGATGGAGGAGAGGGCGTAGAGATAGAGGGCCAGAGCAGAGTTGTGAAAACACAGGCTTCAGAGAAAGACATGGCACAAGTTCTCCATTTGAGAAATATGACAGTTATGGAGTCACAAGTACCTCGATTTTAGCTCTGTCACCGATAACTCTGAAGGTTCAGAGTCTCCATGGCCCCTTAACGTCTAGGCTGGACTGGAGGGACAGATAAGGAATGAGAGGGAAAACCAGAGAAACGCCCTTCAAGCAAGTAAACAGGAGGCCTTCCAGGGATGAATCAATCATTTGCCATCCAGTGTCACACCTAATTCTGTTTTTCCCCCTTCATCCTCCCTCATCCCACCTGACAGTTCTACGACTGGATGGTCCCAACTCCCACAACAAAGACTTCCCACAATAAAACTCAAAGAACAGACAGACAACTCCTTTCCAACCACAGATGAAAGACACTAGAAAGTCATACCTAGGCCACTCTGCTTCATTTCTGTTGGTGGCCTTGAGGATGAAAAGAGCCGGTAGCCACCAGGCCTCGAAGAGGAAGTTTCAGAAAGCACCTGCACAAAAAAGATCCTCTGTTATCATCCTGCCATTCAGCCTAGAAGAGCAAAACCCATGTATGAATTTTTTTTTTTTTTGGTCTTTTTCATTTTTATCGGTACCGGGGATCGAACTCACGACTGCCTGCTTGCAAGGCAGGTGCTTATGCCGCTGAGCTAAATCCCCAGCCCCACCATGTACGAATTCTTGCCCCTACAGAGCAAGCAGTGTCCGAAAGTTTGGAGGAATCAATGAATTTTTATAGGGGAAGAAACATGGAAAGGGAACGGATGGTATAGTTCATGGAGGGACCATACAGGGAGTCCTTCTTTGACACAAGGTACTTCTAGTTCCAAGATGCCTATCCTCACAGCCCTCACAGCCCAAATCTGAAAAGTCATTGTTCTCAGTACAGTGGTAACCCCCAATCTTATCTGTCTCTCCCTCAGACTCAAGAAAGTCAATCACAATGGCTCCACAAAAGAGCCCAGTTATCCCCTCTTCTCTCTGTGTGATGGCTGTATGGTTATTGCAACCATACTAGGCTCCTTATCTAAAACAAGAGGCCCTCTCCCTGACAGTTTCACTCCAGGACACATGAAATAGAATTCTTCAAATACCCACAAGGGCTAATTGCACAATGCTCAATGTATACATGTTCCATCTAGATAGTGTTCTGCACCTCTAGATCCCAAAAAGCAAAGACAAAAGGCAGGACATGGAGGTGAGGCAGGAGGGACACCTGTGTGCAGGACGCCAAGTGAGTGGTGGACACAGCCCGGGGCTGTAGGCCGATGGCTGGGGAAGGTCGGGGTAGGTCTCCTGACCGCCTGCGGCGCCGTCCCCTCAAGGGGATCAGGTCCAGGATCCCCGTGCACTGCATGTTCATGACCTGCTATTATACCGGGTAGGAAGCCGGTCATGACTCCCTTTACCCTCAAGTTCCCACAGTCCCAGTGCCCAAAGGGCAGAGCGAGGTAGAAGGCTGGAGAAGATGACCAGCTAGAGTTCAGCTGCTATGAAGGTTTTTGCAATCTAAAACAGTTCAAAACTATGAGATGACAGGAGAACAAGACAGGACGAAAGGAAAGATGCCAATAATAAGAATAAGAGAGTCCAATGCTCATAGAGCAGGGAGAGGAAATATTAATATCACAAGGCTGTGTAACCAAGGAGCACAGAGAACATTGCTTGCAAGGCTGAGAAGGAAATCCTGGGCAGCAACTATCCTGGATGAGCTAGGTAAAAGCAACACTGGCAACTGAAAGGAAGGAATGCAATTATAACAGGAAGCTTCCTGAAAGAAACTGATCTCATCAAAACATAGAGTTCTCCTTTGCTGATGTCTGCTGCCCTTAAACCAGAAGAAAACAGGGGATCTAGCATGCGAGTGCCAGGGAGATCAGCAGACCATATCAACAAGGGAGACATCTAGCTGTGAAGATGCAGCTCACGGATGGAGGAGAGCCTGTCATTCTGTCCATTTGATTTGGTTCACATGGGCATGTAGGGCACTCAGAGTACTAAGTTATACCTACACTGAAGGGAGAAAATAGTGCCTATGCCCCGTAAAGAAACTAAACATTCACAACATCAGTTCCACATTAAAATAATCAGGAAGTCAAGGATAAGTACAGAAAAGAGACTGTAGTTTGTCTTTTCAGTTTTCTCCAAAATCTGAACTGTAAAACTTTGGCTGAACCTATGAAAGTTAATTTCAGATTCTTCTTAAATATCCATAAAATGGAAAAACCAGTTCCTCTAAGACAGGGACATGGCATAGAGTGAGCTGAGCAGATTCTTGGGTTAAGAGAATAACAAAGAGAGTTCCTGAGACAGGGGTAAGTCATGGCATCCCAAAGGTATCACTGGACCTGAGCGTGGTGGCACACACACGTGAAATCCTAGCACTCAGGAGGCCAGGGCAAGGGAATCATTGCAAGTTAGAGATCAGCCTAGGTTACAAAATGAGCTCAAGGCCAAGCTGAAGTGTATAGCGAGACCTTGTCTCAAAAAGACAAAAAAATTAAAAATGAGAAGAATTTTTAAAAAATATCATTGAGCCAAAGAGAGAACCAGTGTTTCCTGGAACAAAACTAGAACAAAAACCCAAATGGTTAGTTGGATGTGATGTGAGATTAGTAACTATTCCTTCTTCTAGACAAACCTCATCAAGAAAGAGCTCTCCAGACTGATCCTATTGCTGAAACAACAGTAGAGATAACTCCCAGGAGAGTAAAGTGCCAGGCATTTGCTCATCTCCTTTACCCAAGGTAACAAAGAGATGAAGTGGTCTTTAAGAGTAATCGTGTTGTTACTACGGTTACTGTTTAATGACTATCTATGAAGTAGACATTACTACATTTTATACATGAAAAATGTGAGGGTTAGAGAAGTTAAAATCTCTATGTAGGGTTACACAATTTTTTTTTTTTGTCTTTTTCCTTTTTATCGGCACCGGGGATCGAACTCACGACTGCCTGCTTGCAAGGCAGGCGCTTATGCTGCTGAGCTAAATCCCCAGCCCCAGTTACACAATTTCTAAGAATCAGACTGGGATGTCACCCCAGCGTTTAAGCTGTTTCCGCTACATTTCCTTTTATTTTACTATTATTATTATTATTATTATTATTATCATTATTATTATTATGAGAGAGGAGCAGGGTCTTGCTTTGTAGCTCAGGCTGGCTGTGAATGCACTATGTAGCCCAGGAGGGCTTTGAACTCACAGTGATTCAGTCTCCAGAGTGCTCGGATTACAGGTGTGCTTCACCAACCTGGTTTATATTTCCTTTCCTTTTATTTTTAAACACTCCTTCCCCACTAAATTTCCTTTTAAATAACTGTCTTTTCAAATTCATCCAGAGTCCTCCTCAATTTATTTCTTAAAACCTTTCTCTCTCAGGAACCTCTCACTTGCAACTGGTTGCTATCAGAAGCAACCAACTTAAAGAGGCTGGGGACAGCTGTGAGACAGTCAATAAACCAAACATATGGGGGGCCAGACACTGTCTCAGGTCCTCCCCCAGCTTCAGAGGGCACATGGAACTGTGTTTCCACCCCTTCCTCTTCCCAAGGCCCTCCCATTACCTCCATAGAGCCGGCTTTTCGGTTACGAATGAGGGGTGATCTCTTAGGGAGCCCAGGGCCCTCAGGTGGCTGGGGTGAAGTCTGAAGCGCCCGGTCTGGCTCATCGGACGCCTTTCCCGGGCACAGATTCTCCATGCTGCCTTGGTCTGTTTTCATCTCCTCATTCTGTTCAATAATAGGTGTGAATGGCTTCCACCCTTTCAGTCCCAAATTCTCCAGCCCTCCAACCACCACATGGTTCCTAAGCCCTTCAGTCTCAACCTACCTCAGAAGAGGCTGGACGGAACCCACAGCCAGTTGGGGCACTGCCTTCTTCCTCGACACCTTTCACCCCAGGGCTGAAGTGCAGCTCCACGTGAAACCGTTCCTCTGATAAGGGATCCTACAGGACAACACCAATAACGGGCCAGCTGAGAGAAGCCCAGTGTGGGTACTATCTTTAGGCAGGGGAAACAGAGAGGAAGAGGAACTCAAGATGCATCTTCTCAGGGCTCAATTTCAGGGTCCTTCCCCATCCCTTTAACTACTGTCTGTCTGCTAGAGAATCCTCACTCCTTTATGTTCTACCATTTGTAATTCACCTTTCCACATAACAACCTTTCCTAGAAATCGCCCACAAAGTATTTTGATACAGTGAATACAGCATATTAGATATCTCTGTAGCATCAGAAGCAAATGTGTATGTACAACCATGTCTGGGGGAAAGACTCAGAAGGGTCCCATGTTTCCCTCCCTAATGCCAGAACTATGTCCTGGAATTAGCTCTTGGGCTCAACATGCTTTTTGTCCCCACAGGAACCTCTCGGATGCTTTGTGTCATTCTGTGCCTAGGTGCTATATGTAGCTGGACTGTATGGATTCTAAGGATAAAAAGGCTTCCTTTTTTAAGGGAGTAGCATAAAGGGGGCTTTTCCTGAGCCCACTTATTGGATCCTTACCTGTGTGTTATCCTCATAAAGCATAATAACAATCTGGGTCATGTAGTTAAGCTCTGAGATGGCACTCAGGTAAGCCAAAGCTCGCTGCCACTGTGTGTCTTGGGTCTCCTACAAGCAGAAAAAGAGCTAAGTCCATGCATGCCTAGGACGGGAAGTGAGGGAATGGGCAGGGCACCAAGTACAACAGTGAAAGCTTGCAGAGAAAAAGAGCAAGAACAGAAGAATGTTGGGGGAAATGTCACAAGCTAAAAGGAAAAGGAGCATCCTTACATCAAGAAGCCCCCCATAGCGAAAGACGCTGAGTAGGGAGTGGACATGGCTCTCGCTGGTAAAATACAGCCGTGTTCGAACGTGGCGGCCTGGGGACAGCACCCCTCGGGAGTACCTGCGAGGACAGTTCTGTCACACACACCATCACTCCGCAGACCCCCTCTTCCCACCTCAAAGGCGTCTCCCATCTTCTCCCTCCCAGCACCCCTTCTCCTCTTGGTTTCCCAAGCCATCCCGAACTTGATGCTCCTTCACTGCCAATGACCCTCCCTCCAGCCAGCGCCCCTCCTGGCCTCTCTCACAGTGGGTGCAGCTTGTTGACAGACTCATCCTCATGGGTTCGCTGCAGGTCGAGCAGTATCTTTCGCAACAGTGGAAGACAGAAGCCCACGGCAATTTCCAGTTTCTCCTCCCGACTGATCCCATACTCCTAGGGGTCCAGCAGTCAGAAACAAATGCCTCAGTGTGTTTGCTTTCCTCCTGCCTCACACTCCCAGCCCCAGCAACATGCCTGTCTTCACCTTAGGCCTGAGGCTTCTTTCCTATCCACATCCTTCCTTTTCAGGCATCTCCTCGTTTAGCCTTCTGTACTTACTCAGAACCAGGGTAGTCTCTGAGAATTGTAGTGGCTCAACTAATTCCTTCTCTGAGCTTTCTTCCCCTGGTTCCCGCATCATCCCCTTTCCACCTCCTCTTCTTCCCCATGCCCTTATCTGCAGGCCAGATGTCCATGTGACACACACCTGAGGAATGACCACGTCCGCCAGTGCCTTGGAGAGACGCAGCAGCTCCGCCGTGCCCTGGAGGCCCAGGCTCCCATTGTGCTGCACATCATACTTGACACAGTCATAAATGTCAGGGATCTTACTGATATCATAGCGCCCACTCTTCTGCCGAAAGTCACGCTCCAGCTTGCTCCACCGCTGTAGCATGAGCTCTAGGGTCTCACTGTGGTAGAGCTGGAGGTCTTAGAGGAAGGCAGGAATCAGATAGAACCAAAAAGTTAAGCTCCAACAAAAGAAGACACTGACAGCTTGAGTACAACCACAAGTGAGTGAGATGCTTTGTTTCACAGTTAGGAAAAGACACAGGTGTGCCTGAAAAATGCATTTAGACCTGAGACCTTAAAATGAAAACTGGCCAGGTGTGGTGGTGTATACCTGTGATCTCAGCAGTCAGGAGGCTGAGGAAGGAGGATCACTGTGAGCTCAAGTCTAGCCTGGGCAATAAAGTGAGTTCAAGGCTGGTCTGAACTGCATAGTAAAAGGAAAACAGTGGCATTTATACTTACCTACAGATTTGGGGTCCTTCATCCGCTCCCGGATCTGGTGGGTGAGGTTTTCAATCAAGGAAAACACCTGATCACAGACTTTCACAGGGTTCTGAATAACAGTCATGGAGTTAAGCAGGGAAGTGCTTCCAGTGGGAGCCAACTGTAGGGAACAGAGAGAAGGGCAGACAGGGTTGGTTAGGTGCCAGTTTCCTATGACTTATTATAAAGAAATTGCCTGCAATACAGAGCTGTTTGTTGGCTAATTTCAATGAGCATCTTAGGCTACTCAACATAGTAGTTCTAGGGCCTTCAGATGATCATTCTACCACAGTCAACTAACATAGCCAGTCATAAACATCTTGGAGTTCAGAGAAAATAAAACAGACCTTGGTTCTTTTCTTGGGGGCTGTAAAACACAAATGGAAAATGCTAGAGAATAAAAATTAAATCCCAAATCTTCAAAATCTCTGCAGAATGGTTTCATGACTAGATACTAGAGACATCTTTCAACTAGAGTGATCTAGAGTAAAGTGTCAAGTCCTGGGCTCCAACTCACACTCTGAGGACAGACACAGTCCATAAGGAATGGGGAGAGACAGAAAAGTATAGTAATAGGGTAAGGAAAAAAGACTGTAAGTGAAATGCACAATTCTACCCAAATCCTTACATCTTTCATTATTAGCAAAAGGCAGCAAGGAAAAAAGAAAAGTTACCTTAGATTTTTTAAAATTTAACACTGAACAATGAACTAGAAAACAGGAGAGCAAGATTATGCCCCTTATCGAGTTCTGCTCAAAGGGAAACACAACAAATGCAGGTAATGTGCTCAGCTCAAACACATTTATATTTCTGTAGCTGAGTTCATTTAAGAACCTGTCAAATAATTACAATATGCTTAATGTCGGTAAACTATATACCTAAAAATGGTCTAAGTGGTACTACAACTTAAAAATATAGAGGAGGGCCAGGGATTTAGCTCAGCAGCATAAACACCTGTCTGGCAAATGCTAGGTTGCAAGTTTGATCCCTGGCACCTAAATAAATAAATAAATGAAAATAAAAATAAAAATAAAAGGAGCCAGGGATTTAGCTCAGTGGCATGGTACCTGCCTGGAAAGTATGAGGTAGTGAGTTTGATTCCCCATACCAAAAAGTAAAGACAATAGCCAGGCATGGCTCATGCCTGCAATCTCCACTACTTGCAGAGGCTAAGGCAAGAGAATCACTTGAATTCAGAACTTAGAGGTCAACTTGGGCAACATAGTGAAGACCTCAGCATGCCTGTAATCCCAGCACTCAGGGGCTGAGGCAGGAGGATCTTTGTATGTTTGAGACCAACCTGGGCTACAAAGTGACCTCCAGGCCAGCCCAAACTGCACAGCAAGACCCTGTCTCAAAATTAAAATAGTAAGACCCCATCTGAAAATAATACTTTTTAAAAAAACCTATCAGAAATGAGGAGTGGAATTGGGAAAAAGCACTACCTAGTCAACAGGAACCTGGGTGCCTGGGACATAGGATGAGCACTTTAGATTATCAGTACCCACTGGGACTAATGGTGAGACTTCACATTCCAAGGCAGTTACCAGCCTGGTCCCTAGAGTTAGAACATGGGGTTCACGCCAGCTGTATCTTGGGAAAGTTGCTTAAATTCTTTAGCCTAGGTTTCCTCCTCTGTAAAACAGGAGAAACGAGGTATAGTTCTAATATTCCTTGTGGAGGATTAAAGTAATCATTAATTCTTTCATTTCCTCCCTTCCCTAGAATCTAGACTGGCCCTATAACTGCTTTAACCAATAAAAAATAACAAACTTATATTATGCTAATTCTGGGTCTATGCTTTAAGAAAGTTAAACACTCCTGCTTTGGGGAAGCTCCAAGCTACCACAAATTAAGTCCAGCTACCATGCCAGAGAAATCACATGAAAAAAACACGTGAAGAGGACAGGCCCTGAGAACACAAGCAGAACACAAAGGAGGAGCAAGCTAGCCAGCTGGCCCAGAACCCCAGTCCAGCCTCCAGACAGCTCCAGCCCAGTCAACATCTGGTTGCAAGTTTAAGAGAGACCCAAGGAAGACTAGTTGAGCTCAGAACTGTAAGAGATAATAAAATGGTCACTTTTAGTTACAAGTCTGGGGGTCATTTTTTACACAGCAATCACTGACACATTTTTGTATTCGCCTTGGAATTAGATGTATTCTGGAAATGAAAATTTTTTGGACTTTTGAAGTTGAAACAGTGCATAAACCATATGTCATATGATACTTCAGTGAGGCTTATGTAAAGCCAAACACACTTATATTTCTGTAGCAAAATGTATGACTATTTATAGAAAAATAAGCCGTATGGTCTTATGATGACACATGTTAGGTTCAGTTGCCAAGTAAGTCTTAATGCCAAAACTATCATCTTTTGGGGCTGGGGATTTAGCTCAGCGGCATAAGCCCCTGCCTTGCAAGCAGGCAGTCGTGAGTTCGATCACTGGTACTGATAAAAAGGAAAAAGGCAAAAAAAAAAAATCTTTTTAATTGTTGAATTGTGGACATGTATTTATCTCAAAGGGATGCTGTGAGGATTAAATGAGATAATGTGTGCAAGTACCTAAAACAGTGCCTAGTAAACATAATCATTTAGAATTATAGGAAGGCGGGGCAGGAACAGGGAAGGCCTGACCTGGCCATAGTCCTCGGGGCCAAAGGGCGCATCCTGCTGCAGAATGTGATGGAGCCGAGCCTTCACCCGGTGCTGGCAACTGCTCAAGGACTCCCCGTCACTGTCCAGGAGCCCATTCATATTGGCACTCTTCACCATTTGTACCAAAATGGGTGTCAGCTCCCCTTCTAGAGCCAGCAGGCCCTGCAAGAGAAGTCCAAGGCACATTAGCTTCCCTTCCAGGACAGTCTTGTTAGGCCTTTCTGGTTTGAAGAGCTGGGATATAGGGCAAGGGGTTTACTCCCACCAACCCTTTATGGCTCCTTGGAAGGAGCTGAGAACAAGGTCAGATACAAGTAGAGACTTCTCTGAGTTGGCACACAAACACCCTGACATTTCCCAACTAGTTATCCAGACTCCATCTCCACCTAACAAAAGTGGGGACTAAGGAAGAAGTATAATATATACCTTGGCAAAGGCGGCAGCAGTCATCTGGACACGGCCCTCATCAGAGGCATAGATCTTGAGGTCATGGCGGAAAGTGCTATGAAGACGAAGCAGTCCACAACCAGGAAAGCCAGCATAGTCACCTGGTACAAAGGAAAGGACCAGAAGAGACTGGAAACATTCTTCTTCTCCACCATCCTCACTACCTCTGCTCCTCCATTTCCCCTAGCTTGTCCTCTAACTACCTTACCACGGCCCTGGTCATATTTCACCCCTGTCCCACAGACACTCACCCTGCCCTCCAGGGTACATGCAGCGAAAAGCTCGTCCCAGCTCCTCAGCCTGAACACGGCCATCCGGAGTTAGCTCTCCACCCCACTTCAGTACCAGCAACAGGGATGGGGCTAGAGCGGCCCTCTGCAGATCTGAGGGAGTACAGGGCAGTAAACAGGCTTAATATCTAAGACATCTAAATGTTAGGTCTTCTGAAACCATAAAAGTAATCTCAGACCTAGATTCAAGAATAAGAGATCTGGGGCTAGGGATTTAGCTCAGCAGCATAAGCGCCTGCTTTGCAAGTGTGCAGTTGTGAGTTCGATCCCTGGTACCAATAAAAAAAAAAAAAAGAATAAGAGATCTGAGTGGCTAATGGAAAAAGAGATTATATTGTACCTTGCTGCTCATTAGATGCTTTCACTCCATGAGGATAGTAAGTCAGCTGCACCTTCCGGTTGATACCTGAGAAGTGGCCGTACCTATGGGAAAAAGCCACTCTAGCCTTTGTGCCCCAGGACCCCAGTTTTCCCTGCTATTAGCTCCCTTTTCCTACCCCCTTTCTCACATCTCCAGCACAGACTTCAGCTGCTCTAGCTTGCCAGTCTTCTCCTCGATCTCTCCACTTGGCTCTTTCTCCAGTTCAGCCAGCAACAGTCTTGTGATGTCCAGAACCTCCTAGAAGAGTTTAGAGGAGTTAACAGGATATCCATACAGGAAGTCACTTTTCCAAGTGGTCACTTTTCCAAGTGACCAAGCTGGTCAGTTACTTTTCCAACCTATCATTCACTGTTTTCTTCCATCCTTCTTTTTTTTTTGAAGAATCTCACTGTGTAGTGCAGGCTGGCCTTATTCACTTTTATGGCCCAGGCTGGCCTCAGATTCAAAATGACCTTCCTGCCTCAGCCGCCCAAGTGCTGGGATTACAGGTGTGTGCTACCACCTTCTTTCTTCCCTACAGCACTACTACCCTGGTCAGATTTAACACCTTACCTGGAGCTGCTCAGGTCGCTTGAGTTTTAATTTCCCAGTCTTGTATCCACCATGTTTTTCAAATAGAGTGAAAAACCTATAGTCAAGAGAAGCACCAAGACAATCATAGCTTTTCAGAGCTGTTCCCCACACAATCTCCCTTAAGAAGACCAAATCAGGACATGTTTCCTACCTGGGGTGTGTCACCTCCATTTTCATCTTCTGCTTGGGGGTGCGATCTCCATGACGGATAATTGCAATGACACAACGGAGTTCCATCCTAAGATCAGAAATCCTTTCAAAATCTCTCTTCCACCCCACCCTCACCTCACTTCCACCATCACAGTCTCTTGGATACACATAAGAAAAGATAAGCAGGGATCTGAGATTGAGGGTAAAGGTAGAGTTAAGGGGACTACAAGAGGGTCAGGCCCTCTAGTTAATACTGTGTAAGGTTACAAAGAAACCATTGGGTGGATGAAGGAATCTCAAATGTCTGTATACTGCACATTTCTACACTTTTGCTTACATAGTGCCAGAAGTGGTAGGGACAATGGGAATATCTTCTGCTTCTGTGGGAATGGACCATGGGATCTGGAACTGTGGCGCAAGCTCTCGCATGATGGTGTTCCTAGCAGGAGAAACAAGAGAAAGGGCTGTGAAGATGAATGAACCAGAGTTACACATAGGAACAAAGCTCACAAAGATGAGCATGTTGCAGAGGAAGGAATTCAAACAAAGCCTGAAAATATGCAAATGAATACTACCATACATGTGGTAGAAACATAAATGCCTAAGAATGATAAACACCAAACTAAAGATTGTGATTCCCTCTGGGGTGGCAGAGAGAACATAACTAGGGAGGGGTATATGGGGGCCTCTATTAATAGTTTTTCCTTAAAGCTGTAAGTAGTACTTGGCGAACACTGCTATATTTATGGATGCTCACCATATCTATCATTCTTCACATACTTTTGAATGGCTTAAACATTACACGATGATTTTTTTAAAGTCAAGTTGTAAGACCGTATCAACTTGGTCATATATAGTGAAATAGTTTATTTATGCAAGGCAGAAAAGATAATCTATTATGTCTAAAACTGAGGAGTGTAGTATTAAAGAAACAAGGGCTAAGAAGCTCTTTTCCTTTTTCCCTTTTAAATTATTTTTTTTTGTTTTATAAATTATTTTTATATATTGAAAATAAAGTAAAAGCTTTTTAAAACTTGGGGCTGGGGATTTAGCTCAGTGGCATAAGTGCCTGCCTTGCAAGCAGGCAGTCGTGAGTTTGATCCCTGGTACCGATAAAAAGGAGAAAGACAAAAAAAAAAAAAAAGCTTTTTAAAACTTAATTTTATTGGTACATTTTAGATATACAGAATGATCACATTCATTATAGGAAGTTTGTACCTGTATATGATACACCTTGATTCTTCTTTTTTCCACATTCGCCTCCCTTCCCTCCCCTCTCTTCCACCCTTCTCCTCATTTGTAAAACCTTTATTTCAATTTTTTTTATTCTTTTTTCTTTAGACTCCTTCTCTAAGCCCTCTCTCACCACCTCAGACCATTATGTCTCTTACCCCAAGATCTTAGCACAGTCATCGTAGTATTTCATTGAATTCTTGACAAAACTGAAGCCATTGACATCACACACAAAAGAGTGACCATTGGCCCGAAGAAGATCAAAGCCACACACTGTTTGCTGCAGGTGAAATAGGCAAGATGAGAAAAGAGAACCATTCTTTCTTTGCAGACCCCTGCTCCCATCCCTGTCCCGCATTCCCCAACCCCATGGGCTCTCCACTACCTTGAAAGCTACACAGACTTTCCTGGCCACCAACTTTTCCATGGCAGTCAGCATGACTGGGTAGCGAACCTCTTTCCCTTCACTGTCTCGTTCCACCTTTCCATCCAAAGCTGGAGATTTCCTAGCTTCAGCATGGGCATAATCTGGCCCCACTGTGTACACCTGCAGGTACATAGCATCACTGAGTATGCCCACAGCTCACCCTGTGTATGAGAAAACAGTATGAGCACTAGGTCTGCAGACTAGTTTAAGAGTAAAACAAAAAAACTCTGACCATCAAAAATAAGTAGACTGATTTTTGTCATGGAGTCCTACTTCAGTACTCTCATGACATTTTCCCCTCAGGACTCTGGCACTATCTATCTAATCCTTATTAAAAAATAATTTACCAACATTACACCATTTCCTACACACCCTTGCCATTGCTCTAATAGTGAAAATGAAACTGTCTACATTCCCCACTCCTTATCTTTAGTTGAATATGAACCAAACTGATTCACACTGTATTTTCTAAGACTCCTTCCCCATACACTTCTACCTGCTATTCCCACCTGCACCCAGACATCTGGAACTGCTTAAATCCCTGTATCCAAAGCTGGGTGTGGTGTATACACCTGCAATCCCAACACTGAGGAGGCTGAGGCAGGAGGATCACCACTAGTTTGAGGCCAGCTTGTGCTACATAGTAAGACCCTGTCTCAAAAAACAAACAAAAAAATCCCTGTGTCCAACATAACCTTGACATCTGTGCCGTCTGTTGGCATAAACTCCTCATAGATGTATGACCCTGTCTTTCGAACACTGCTCTCAGGAGAGTAAACGCTGCTTCGGCTGCCAATCTTAGGAAGAAAAGGAAGAAAAAACATGTCACCTCAACAGTCTACCCTGTCCGCAGACCCTCCAGCTTCCTTCCCCACAACTCATCATGTTCTACCTCTCTGACTCCCCAAATGCTCAGCTGTCTCCCCACCTTACGGAAGAGGCGCTGGCTCCCTCCTCCTGCTGAGCTGGGGTAGTAGATGTAAACGTTGTGGTCCTCTGCACTCACTGGCTTCTCCACAAAGGGCTTGGGGAAGACAGCACCATTAACCTCAACCTGGTCTTCACCTTCTATCAGGTTGCACTCTGCAAAGTGGTTGTGGGGTCACTCTTAGGGCCAAAGACAGTAGAATACTCCCAATTCTCAGTTTGTTACAATTTTAATCTCTACAATCCTCAAATTCCTGTGAGTCTCTCTTAGTGACACATACATATTATCTATATATGATATATAGATATGATAATATCTATAATAATGGGCCCAAGTTGTGTCCAAAAAGACTGGACTCTCACCCCACTATAATCTAATACCAAGCTCCAAAATTTAGGTGGTATATAGGAGATATCTAGGGGACATAAACAAAGTAGTCATGAAAAGCAAGACAGAAAAGCACTGACAGGAATAGATACTCACCCTCGGGCCGGGCAGGGTCACGGTTGAGCACAGCATATCGAGGCAGATCGATACCCTCCTCCTGCAGGATCCGGTACACCTCCCTCCTGTCACCCCCAAATAAGTTAGCTGGGAGCACTGGGGTATGGGTGACTAAGGTGAGAGACTAGGGGTTTCATTTGCATAGGGATTGGAAAACACTGAGGCATAGAACTCAATAGGGTATGGTACAAAAATAAAATGTGTTAGTTTGGCCTTGTCCCTAAAGAGTATGTCCCCAAAGTGGGCGTGATCTCAGGGTCACCATCCCATGGGGCCAAAGAAAGCTATACCTGTCTTGAATGTAATACTGCATGGCCAGATCATTGATAAGAAAAGGGTTTCGAAGCTTGGAGTAAGCAACAGCCTTGTCCAGAGGAAAGCCTGTGATGGAGAAAGAAAATAGTAACCAAAGAAAGCAAGCAAAAGAGATGAAGTGAGAAAACAAGAGAGACAGAAACATTTTAAAGCTAACCACTGCCACTGAGTTTCTCTCACTTTCCCTTTTGTCCATCTTCTAAGTCTAGGATATTTAGTAGGAAATTTTTAAAAATTATATCTAAGGTCTTTCTAGACATCCAATTGTGTTTGAGAGCCTAAAGGCCTTAGAGCTATCCTATAGACAGATTATAGGTCTACATTCTCCCCAGGCGCTCCTCCAAGATGTAGGGAATGCAGATCCTTTGGCATTGTTCCCTGTTATACTGGAGGAGCTGATGGCCTCTTCACTAATAGGACAGTAAGAAGCTTATCCTCAGTCCAGCCTTCCCTATCCTTCCTATTCTTTACAGATCCCAACCTTTGGAGTGGAAAGAGATGAGACAGTGGCAGGATGGCCAGTTTTCCACAGGTTCATTGAGGATCACATCTTCTCCCAGGATGATAACAGTCAGGTAGTCAAATCTACACAGTCGCTCTAGGATTTGGGTCATCGGCTTAGACTTGGATTTCTTGGTCATGGCACAGATGCCAACAATGATTTGAGGTTCAGGAGGCTGTAGGAGAAACTGTTATGAAGAATTCAGAACTTCTCACTTATGTCCCCCCATGAGGAATACTGTCTCATCTCCCCAGGGTAGTTTCTTTGCAAGACATTGGATCTACATGTCTTGTCAGCATACTGGTGCCTAACTTTGATCTAGGCTGGGATATATCTAGGGATCTACCATTGCCACCAGAATAGGTGCTTTCCCACTAAAGAACTGTGACTGTGAGACAGCAGGAGGAGGCATAAGGGTGGAAATTCCGAAGAGAGGCAGTGAACCCATCTCCACCGCCCCTCTCCTAATCCCAGATAGGGCCTGTTCAGGACAGGGTATGTATTTGGAAAGAACAGAAAGATATCTGTATCCAGAAGAATCTCATCTCAACTGGGCAGGCACGGTGGCACACTCCTGTAATCCCAGCATTTGGGCAGCTGAGGCAGAAAGATCACTGTGAGTTTGAGGCCAGCCTGGCCTACATAAGCAAGTTCAAGGCCGGCCTGCATTACATAACAAGACTCTGTCTCAAAAAAAAAAAATTGCTAAGGTGGGAGACCCAACACCAAGTTATAGCATCTTCCTGTCTTACCACTTCATCTTCCTCATCCTCAAGTAGCTCACTGTCACTCTCTTCTGTCCTCATGCCTGTTCCACGGGTGCCCAGCCCCTCATCTCCAGCTCCGAGGAAGAAGTGGGCCGTGGTGCTCTCGTCCTCACTGGCCGTCAACGACCACATCCCCACCGGAACACCCACTCATCCCGCTCTGCAAAGGTGGGCACCCCGTCAGCTCAGAATCCAAACCCCTTGGCGGTAGGTGGGGATAGGATATGAGGAACTAGAAAATAAAGAGGAAACTACAAGGGTACAAGCAGAAACAGGAAACAAAGCTATGGGAAAGAGGATCAACAAGAAAGCAGGCTATGGCTATGATTTGAAATGATTTAAGAGCCATAAAAGGAAAGCAAGGTCTTCTTTTTCTTTCCCACTCACCCCGCCCCAATCAATAAATCAGTAAGAGGATTGAGATATTAAGCCTTACGGTGCTGGCATGTCCCTGATTCTGCCAGCAGGAAACAATGTTAACTCCAGGCAGCAAATGAGAAAGGCCGTTCTCCAAGGAAGGCTACTGTTGACTCCTGCCAGAAGAGAAGGTTAGAGCAACACTTCAAATTCTGGCTTCATTCCACAATGTCCTTAGCCCTTCTCCACCTCCCCACAGTAGTGATGAACTCAAAGATTTAATTCAAGAGCAGAGGAATGAAACAGTTCAGTTGCTTCTGTTCTTAAAGTCTACCTTCATTTCTACCAAGGATTGGTTCAAAAAACACTCCTTTAGGGCACCCTCCATTCTAAGCATTAGGAGAATATTAAAATCCTCTATGCCCCCAGCTCCAGGTAAAGGGAAAGAAGCCTAGCGCTGGTCAGACTGCTGAAGATGCATCCCCACAGCAGACTCTAGTCCATTCTAAACTGAAACCATAAGCCAAGCCTGATGGTACATGCCTATAATCCCAGCTCTTGGGAAGCTGAGGCAGAAGGATTGCTGCGAGTTCAAGTCTAGCTTGAGCTAAAAGTAAGATACTGTCACAAGAAATTAAAACAAAACCAAGAGTGTAAATTAAAACCGTAACATTCTATCCACCAATCTGATACTCCAAAACCAGTGTCCGCCCAGGGAAAGGTCTTTCATACCAGCAACATCTAAGTCTATAAACTGAGTCAGACCAAACTGACAGTGTCACTTCCATATACATACACTCAGATGTGGCTTTCAAACAGTTAATTTTCCTGTAAGGGGACATTTGGCCAGGACACTTTTGTATTAATTGGAACACTACTACTGGCATCTAGCAAAAAGAGGGTAAGGATGCTGCTAAACATTACCAAAAATACATGATGTTCTCACAACAAAGATGTCAAAATGCCAATAGTGTCTAAGTGGACACACTCTGGTGTAGAGAAAAGCTTCTTTGTAAGGATACATGTACAAGACATTCCTAACCAAAAAAAAAAAAAAAAAAAAAAAAGACATTCCTAACCTCATGGCTGCTCATGAAAAAACTGAAAACAACTGAGATGCCATAAATAGAAGAATGGATAAATACAATGCAGTATATAGAAATAACAAATTATGAGAGGCTGAGGCAGGAGGATTGTTGTGAGTTCGAAACCAGCCTGGGCTACAAAAGTGAGCTCAAGGCCAGCCTGAACTGCATAGCAAGACCCTGTCTCAAAAAAAAAAAAAAAAGACAAGAAAAAATTAAGAAAACAGATTAACAGTAACTTTAAAAATGAACTAGAGCTATGTGTAATGATTGGACAGTTTCCAAATGCAAACCACAGAGATATGCAGACCACAACTCCACTTGTATGAGTAAACAGTATTACACATTTTATGGCTGCATGTACAGTTCGGAAAAGTATAAAAACATAAACTAGAAAAACAACAAATTTATAAGCTGGGCCTGGTGGCACATGCCTGTAATTCCAGCACCCTGAGAGGCTAAAACAAAAGGATGGTGAGTTTGAGCCAAGCCTGAGCAATTTAGCAAGTTAGCAAGACCCTGTCTCAAAATAGAGCTGGAGATGCAGCCCAGTACAAAGGCCCTGGTTTAATTCCCAATAATAAACACACACACACACACACACACACACACACACACACACACACACAGAGATAGTGACTACCTTTGAGGAAAAAAGATGAATGGAAGATTAACATGGTACTTCACAATCTCACCTATAATTTTATTTCAATTTTTAAACAGATCTAAAGCAAAGGTTAACACATGTTAATAGTGATTGTAGGAACATGAGCACCTGTTATTATTTTCCAAAAATAAAACTGAGTCACGTATCAGCAATTTACCACGGTCTCCAAAAGTTCTCAGAAACACTGATGGACCTTAATACTCGCAAACTAACTCAGTAAACGAATTAATTTAGACTTTTAAAATAATCTCCAATAATTACTTTTTCTATTTTTATTTTAAACTCTTCCATTACAACTGGGGTATGTAGCTTAGATTAGAAAGTTATAGATGACCTTTATATAGACCTCACCTTTTCCAATCTTTAGCATCTGCTATCTCAATTGCTCAACCACCTTGGCCAGGTGGGCCCTACGTTCTCGCACAGGCTATTTCTTTGAACTCCTTTTTAGTGATCTGACCCAATTTCCATGACTTGTGACATTCCCAAGTGCACAGTTTTACCAATTAGAATTTTGTTTCATTCTGACGTAGGAGCTTTTTCTCATATCTAATGTTCCTAACCCTTTGCCTTTATTCCACTATGTCCTTCTTAGTTGTTTTTTTTTTTTTTTAACTGAAAATACTTTCATGCTCTTGAAATTGTATTACAACTCCATAATGGGGGTTGGTAAATAATAGGATCAGGAAGAAAAGTCTGCTCACAAATATCGACTAAAGAGACAGAAAAGGCCAAATTCACAGTTAACAAAGCTAAAACAGAAGACTGCAGAAATAGCTATGAAATAAGCCAGGATTTATTTATATGTAACTCTGGGAGAAGCCGGATTTTAATATGGCGTTCCCAAAACCACATCCGTTCTCTATGCTCTGTCCCTGTCATTCTCCTCCCATCCCCTCCCCTTATTGCAAAAGCAAACCTCAGGCTCTACCCTGGGCTAAAAAGCAGTCTTGTACAGTGAGCGGGGAAGACAAGCAGATGGGCGATCTTCTCAAGAACACATGGGTTGGACCAGATCTGCAGAAGAGAAGAGGGAAGGTGAACTGGACAACTCCTTTTCCTCTACGATTTAGGGTTGCTTGCATAGTCCTCCAGTTTCTTAAATCTCCTTGCGGTTGATGGAAGGCTTGTCACTGATAACGCAGTACTTCCAACAAAGAAAATCTCGTCGGGCCGCCAACATGTCTCTTCCCACTTTGAGCAGCGGCTCTCGCGTCTTCCTGAATGACACTTACCAGCCTCCGCACACACATCTTCCGACGCAGCTCAGCCACCCAGCCTCCTGTTCCTGTCGTCTCCTCCCCTGAGTGCTTCGGGGACTCTTCCCTGATCCCCGGCCACTCCTCACGACGTGACTGGTCATCCGAGCAATCAACCCACTCGACCCTCCATTTACGGGATCCACGGATTCAAAAGGAGCTTCTAGCCCGCGCAGGAGTCACCAGGCTCGGTGACATCTTCCCACCGAGCCCCAGGCCCCATAGTGACTGCCCGGGCTGTCCTTTGCGAAGTCTCCTGCCCTCCGCAGTACCCACTCCCGAGGACCCCCTTGCTGGGCGCTGCTACCCCAGCCGCGTCTACCCCGCGCCCGGTACCGCGCAGACCCGCACCCATATTCCCGCCGACCCCGCCGCCCTCAAGGCTCGGGGCACGAGCGCAGTCCTCCGTCCCGACCGCACGAGCCTGCCCGCCCTGCTCCCCACCGACCCAAGGCCGCTCCGCCGCCCGCTTTCCCTCAACAGTACTGGTGCCCCCGCGGCCAGCGCACCGCCAAGCCCACCCCCGATACCGCCCCCAACCCAGCCACTCCCCCGCGCCCCCGGCCCACACTCACCCGCCTCCCTCCGCCGCGCAGCCGAACCTGCCGGCAGCGACACCTGACAGCGACCCAATCAGGCTGCGACTTCTTTGCGGTGTCACCAATCAATGGAGGGCGCGCACCGGCAACAGAGTCAGGCTGCGTTGGCCGGCGCTTCTGCGCGGACGAGGGTAGCCCCTAGCGGCGCTGACGGGGATTGCAACGTGATGCTCCTCGGCCTGGGTTTTTACAGTCTCCGTCCAGGCATCTGGTCTTGAATGGAAACCTTCCAGGGCAACCGGGATAAAGGTTTGAGAGCCAGATCCGGGGGCAGAGGCAGAGTTTGCGCCATTGCATCTCCTTGAGCCCCATACCAGCCCTTTTGTTTTATAGGTTAAAATGTGGTACATAATGATGAGAAAATCAACATCAATAATTGCGGATTTTCTTATCACAAAAAAATAAAATGGACCTCAAGCATCAGAATAGTTTTGTCAACAGTTAGAATCTGTTTATCTTCATTTGAATGCCTTCTAGACTATCTAAAAAGTAATAAAATGTATCTTCCATCCACATGTATAAGAATTTCTATAATTGTATATATGCTTCTATATATTCCCACCCTCCAAGATTTTCAACTGTGTGTTTGACAAGTGAATAAATAAATCTGTTATCAGCTGAAGTTTTTGGTTGATAATATAATAATTGTTTCACAGGCATAAAACATATAAAGCAGTATTAAAATCTGAGTAAAAAGGTATTCTGTATCTACTTTAATAAATGGTTATAATTCATTAAAATATGTGGTACATATAGGTACATACAATAATATAGCCTGAAAATGTAAAATGTATAGAGGATTGACTGGGAGATTGGTGACTAAAAAGAAGGAAAGCGTGTAAGAGAGAGAGAAGCAGATGAGAAAATTAAAAGAAAGGATAGAGAGATTTCATTATGAAGCACCCAAGAAAAAGGGTGAACATGGAAGACCGGACAAGCTGGAATCTCAAAGCTAGGTTTGAATCCTGGCCTCACCTTTAACAGCTATGCAGCTTTGGGCAAGTCACTTAATTTTACTGAGCCTCCATTTTTCTAATCGGTAATAGTAGAACTAAAAACCTAATATGCAAGGAACTGATTATGTAAAAGAAGTCTGTGTATGTTTCCATTGTTCTTATTGTCAGTCTTGGAGCTTTACTTGGGCTTCCCTGGTCAGGACAGTTCCAAGTTCCCAGTGTCTTCTATGCAGCCTAGGAACTGTGCCACTTTCTCAGCCAGATGTCTTCTGGTAGTGACCCCCAGCCTCCTGATCCAAAAAGATGAGTCTAAGGACATCTGCAAGAAGAAGAAGAGATGACTCCCTAAGTCATGGTCATACAATCCTCCACCACTCCAGCCCTTCAGACACATCATTACAGGGAGTTCCAGGTACTTAACTAACCTTATTACTATGTGAACCAAATTCATGGTTCCACAGGCATCAAGGAATGAAGTCATGAACCAAAAAGGAGGATAGGGGAGTTTTATTGGGAATAATATGAAGAATAATTCCTGGGTTTCCAGGAAGGTCCCCAGTAGGTGGCTGCATGGCCCCACAATCCAGAGCTAATTATAGAGAAGCAGGGCACAAGAATTGCTAAATTGTTTTGTGGCCACCTATCACAGGTAGATCTGTGAACTTAAAATGACCCATTGGAACTCGGGTTTCTAACCTGGCTCTTCAACACATAGAGTTTAAAGGAATCTGAGATATTAGAGGGGAGGAAAACTGGTTATTTTGCATTCTGACTTTCTCAGGATTCAGGAGATTAGTAAGGTCTGGGCTGCATCCCATGTTGTCTGAGAAAGTTCATCCTTGGTCATAGTTCACCGTCTCTTTTTAAAATTCTTAAAAATAAATTAAAAAATAAAATAATAAAATTCTTATTAGCTAGGTGTGGTGGCTCATGCCTGTAATCCCAGTACTTGGGAGGCTAAGGCAGAAGGATTGCTGCTAGTTTGAGACTAGCTGGGCTACAAAGTGAGCTCAAGGCCAGCTTGAACTGCATAGTGAGACCCTGTTTCAAAAAGACAAAAATAAAATAAAATAAAATACTTATCAATATGGCTAGTCACCCCAAACTACCTCAGGCCCTTTCCTTAGCCAGCTGCCTCACTTATAAGCTAAGTAAACTACCTTCCACACTGGATTCAATCTCCAGCGCAACCAAAAGAAAAAAAAAAAAATACAAGTACATATGTCTTCTCAGAGGAGCTTCTTTTATTACAATACAAACAGCTGCTCTCCAAACTTGAATAATTTTTCTACTCTTTTGCATGTCTTACTTCTCTTCCTCTTTTTTTTTTTTTTTTTTTTTTTGTCTTTTTCCTTTTTATCGGTACTGGGGATCAAACTCACGACTGTCTGCTTTACAAGGCAGGCGCTTATGCCGCTAAGCTAAATCCCCAGCCCCCTCTCTTCCTCTTCTTAATTCTCTCTGTCCCACTCCCTATGTTCTTGTCACCCTCTCAGTCAAATAACAATCCTGCTGCTCTGGAAGATGATCTCCCTCTTTTATCCAGGTAAATATACATCATTCAAAGTACCCGTAGTTATATTTATTTACTCATAGCTATTCAGCCTAGGTAATAAGCACCTGCAGCACAGGTAACATTTTCCATCCCTCCCAAAGGAACCACACTCCAGCTGCAGAACTCAGCCTGTTCTCTGATATTTGCTGTCCTACTGGAAGAAGTAGTTAATGATGAACCCCAAAGTGAGGTGGATAGCCTCTAAGGATACCCACAAATGAAGAAGGTAAGAAAAGAAGTCATAAGGGAGGCCTGAGAGCCATAAAGGGAATGATGGTATAGGTGAGCGGAGGAGTCTTCAATGAGGCCAGAGAACAGTATGAAAGGAATTTCTCTTCCCCAAGTACTGACTCTTGTGCTCCCAAGCATCTCGCTGTCTTGTGGGTACACCGCCAGAGCAGGAGAGCACTAAAACAGTATGTCTACTCCTCCTTAATTGACCTTCCACAAGAAACATCTCGACCTCTGCTCTTTTTTGCCAGCATCAATGTTATATATTTGTGTATTTATTTAGAAGTCTTTAGTGAGTTAATTATCATAACAAACATCCATTCATTCTCCCTCCTGCCAGGACAAGTCACACCCAAGTCACACTGTGGAAACAAAGGCCTCTCAGATCTGAATGTGTACATACTTCATAGGAGGGAAGGGGACCAGGAAGAAGGCTGAGATTCCCTGATGACCTGATGCCCTGCCCTCGGACACCACTCACTTTGCACTCTGGATTACACAGCATTAGGGGGCCAGGAGAGGAAACACAGGTGGGGCCTGGAGACCTGTGTCTGCCTGCTCCTTTCCACGCCCAGTCATCTCACCACACCCTTCTCCCTTTATATTCCCTGCCAGCCCAGGAGTGTGCTAGAGACAGAAGAGAAGGCCGAGAAGGAAGAGGAAGCTAACAATTCCTGCTCAACCTTAGCCCCACACTCAGTGCAACCAACAGGTAGGCCAGCTTGTACTGAGTTCTGGAGTGGCTAAGAGGTCTGAGCTGGAAAAGAGAAAGCTGAGCTGGAAAAGAGAAAGGAGCAAAGGTGAAGTAGGGGATAGGGAGAAGAGTGGAGGGCAAGGATAGGGAACCACAGAATGGAGGTGGGAAACAGCAGGGCCAACACCCCTGAGGGAAGTGGAGTTGGGGGGGACATAGCAGAGGTGGGATAGGGTGCTATTTCCTGGTTGCTTGCAGGGAATTCTTTCTCAACTTTGTTAGGAAGCAAGTGTGGCTGGGAGGGGCCTCGGTGTTCTTCCTGGTTCTTAGGAAAGGTGACCTTGAGCCAGAGGGTGCTTTTCCAGTGTCTGTGCTATCTCCGCGTGTTCCTCTGGTTTCTGTGTTTATTCCGCGGTTTCCCTGCAGCCTTCTTCCGTTGGGAAGAAGCAGAGGTCGAAAGCTGAGATACTGAGCAAAGTCACCTTTTCACACTCATAAAGTAGAAGGATCAGGTTTCGGATTAAAACGAGGGGGCTGGTGGGAGGTGCTCGGGTTCCACAGTCCCGAGGTGCTGTCCCCGGCTCGGTGCTGAAATCCAGGCAGCCCGGCCCGGGTGGTCCCGCAGCCCCGGCGCGGGGGGCGAGCCCCGGTCCTCGGGGCACCTGGCCCGAGCCGCCCGCCCTCGCCCGTCCCGCATCCCGAGCGGCGGCACGGAGGGCGGGGCCCCGGAGCCCCACCCCCGGGGACTGCGGCTCGGCCTCCTCCCGCCCGCCGCTAGCGCGCTGCGCTTCGCCTGCGACGCCGGCCGGGCCCGCTCCGGCCTCAGCTCATCCCCATCTCGGCTTCAGCCTCGGCCCAGCCCGGCCCTTCGTCGGCCCGATCGCATCCTCCCTCCCGTAACTGTCTGCGCCAGATCCTGCTCCGGGAAGCCATGGCTGGCGTCTTCTCCCGTCTGCCGTCCGCCCGCCCCGGGCTCAGGCTCCTGGCTATGGCCGGAGCTGGGTCTCTGGTCGCTGGGTTTCTGCTCCGTCCGGACTCCGTGCAAGCCTCTCGCGAGCGCCGGAGACTGTATCCTCCAAGGTAGGGGTGGAGGGGGTGGTATGACGGAGAGAGGGGGCAGAGGGGCACCGGTGCCACAGACAAGGGCTCTGTTACGGAGGTCCTGGACTTCGGAGACTTTAGGAAGGGGGAATGGGCCCACACCCTCAAGTAAGAACATTTCTGGGGGCCTGCAACCCGACATCGCCAAGCCCACCTCTGACCCTAGGAAGTCTAGTTGTAGCCGCTACTCAAATCCATAATCCGAAAGCCCAGGACTATCCTTTTACCCTCCACCTCCTTTTCCCGCTGTTCTCTCCCATTTCCTGAATTCTTAGTCTTTCCCCTCCCCCATCCTTAATGTTGTGTTGTGAGGAAAGAACTGTGTGTGTCTGGGAGAATTGAGTCAGCCAGCCACGGGCAGCTAGAACTGTTAGGAAAGCACAGACTCTGAAAGTCTCTAAAGAGATTATCAAGGCTAAGCCTATCTCTAATTCCCCCTCGTCCCACGGAGCAAAGTCAGGCACGGCTAATTGGACAGCTCCCAGCTGGCAGCACTGGGTCTAGGTCTCAGTGCCCTCCATGGTTACTGGGTACCCCCCTCCCCAGCGCTGAGTACCCAGACCTCCGAAAGCACAACAACTGCATGGCCAGTCACCTGACCCCAGCAGTCTATGCACGGCTCTGCGACAAGACCACACCCACTGGTTGGACGCTAGATCAGTGCATCCAGACTGGAGTGGACAACCCTGGCCACCCCTTCATCAAGACTGTGGGCATGGTGGCTGGAGATGAGGAGACCTATGAGGTAGGGGGTCCCCAGAGTTTCCCTGCTGACCCAAGTCACTTGCCAGTAATCCCTGTTCCTTCTTAAAGATCTCTCACTCACGTTCCCTCAAGACTAGACCATCCATATGCAAGTCTTCTGAGCCAGTGAAATCAATCCATAATTGAAGTGCAAGGAAGAATTTCTTCTCTGTAAACACCTTTCCCTTTCTCTTAATTCCTCTTCAGGTATTTGCTGAGCTATTTGATCCTGTGATTCAAGAGCGACACAATGGATATGATCCCCGGACCATGAAGCACACCACTGACCTGGATGCCAGTAAGGTGGGCCCCATATTCGGCTTCTAGATTGTGTTGCCTTGTGGACATTCTGTATTTCCTGTGCCTTTACCTTATTTCCTGGTTCATGGTCATTTTTATGGCTGAATGTTTAATCCTGATGTGGGGAATGAATCCTGTCTTAAGAAATGACAGAGATGGCGATGACAGGGTGGAGGACAATGACCATGCTGTAGCGTGGGACACTTGGGGAGGGGTCTTCATGCCCTTTGAATTGAGTGCTTGCCCAGTGAGCTGCTAGACCAGCACAGAGCCCTTTAATCCCTAAGATATCTCCTTCCCCAAGGCCCCTCATTTCCACTCTCTGTGTTTCTATGACTTGTATTCATTTTCCTTATCTCTCAGATCCGTTCTGGTTACTTTGATGAGCGGTATGTATTGTCCTCAAGAGTCAGAACTGGCCGAAGTATCCGGGGACTCAGTCTCCCTCCAGCCTGCTCTAGGGCCGAGCGGCGAGAAGTGGAACGTGTCGTGGTGGATGCACTGAGTGGCCTGAAGGGTGACCTGGCTGGACGTTACTACAGGCTCAGTGAGATGACGGAGGCAGAACAGCAGCAGCTTATTGATGTGAGGGTTCCGGAGAGACAGCCCGGTGGGGAGAGTAGATGGATAAAGGGCCAGAGGGGAGGCTGAAGCAAGACAGGCCCAGGGGCCACCACCATGATGGTTCTTAAACCCAGTTGCTTTGCTTTTCCCAGGACCACTTCCTATTTGATAAGCCTGTGTCCCCATTGCTGACAGCAGCAGGAATGGCTCGAGACTGGCCGGATGCTCGTGGAATCTGGTATGAGGCTGCTCCTTACCTCTTTTATCCTCCATGCCATAAGAAACGACTTTTTCCCTCTCTGTTTCAATTCTTCTCTTCCCTCTTAATTTCCTCAGGCACAACAATGAGAAGAGCTTCTTGATCTGGGTGAACGAGGAGGACCACACAAGGGTCATCTCCATGGAGAAGGGTGGCAACATGAAGAGAGTGTTTGAAAGATTCTGCCGGGGCCTCAAAGAGGTTGGAGAAGGGTGTTAGGGCACCAGAAAACCAAAGGGCAGCCTAGGCACACTGATTATGTCATTTATCAACCAATGCAGGAGACCTCTGGTAATAAAAAGGGTCACTACTAATTACCACAGGAAAATAGGTATAAACTAAGACTATTCTGGGAAAACCAGGACATAGGGTTACCCTAAGAACAGGAAGAGAGAAAGAATGGAACCTAAGCAAGTAACAGCTGTCAGACAATGCAGAGAAGGAACAGCGGAGATGGTGAATCACTGCCCTGGGATGCAGTGGGCCTCGCAGACAGAGAGAACATTTGACCCTATAGTGATGTCTGAGGTGAGGGATTGGTGTGGCCCTGTCTCTAAAATCATCCCCAGGCCTGAGTTAAAGTAGGGCTGGACTCTGAATGCTGACCTTCCTGCTGAAGCTTTGTGTCCAGGTTTTAAGCTGAGAGTCACAGAGAGACTGGAGAGGTAGAGGATGGAATGGCTCCAGTTCAGAGTCTATGGCTCTTGATGAGGGATTGAATTGCACCTTTAGTCCTGTGTGGATTGAGGGTTCATTGTCACTTTTAGGTGAGAAACTGCCATAAGCCCAGTTCTTACTGCACTGCATGTGCTCATACATAGAGTTCTATTTTGGACTTGCAAAAAAAGCGAGCTCTTTTAGGTTCTAGCCAAGAACTTTATCCTATTTTTGGCAAGCAATGGATAACATATTCTGGCTATGAGTGAATAGGGGGAACTATTCTTTCAATTATATGCCTCAGTTCCTTCATCTGTAAATTTGAGATAATAAATTCCTATGTTTTAAGTCATTAGGGGGATTAAGTGAAATAATGCAGGTAACTGATCCACAGAATGTCTCAGTCGGTTAAGCATAATGGTGCACTCCTGCAATCCCAGCACTCATACTCAGGAGGCTGAGGCAAAAGGATCACCTTAAGTTCAAGGCCAGCCTGAACTATACAGCAAGACCCTGTCTCAAAAGAAAGAAAGAAGGAAAGAAAGAAAGAAAGGAAGAAAGAAAGAAAAAGAAAAGAAAAGAAAAGAAAGAAAGTCTGAATAAGTATTGGCTGTGTTATTATTCTTGCTGTTCAGCATGCAAGAGTCCTCCATGCCATGGCTCTTTCTGAACTAAAAACAGGGCTCTTTTGCTTATTATGTAGGGTGCTGGTCTTTTTGCCCAGAGCACTGGCAGAACTCCTGTCTCTTCAGCTTTGATCATCATCTTCTTGATTGGAGTGGTTAAATGAAACTAGAATATTCATCCATACCCCGCTTGCTCTCTCTCACACATATACATCTTTGCATCTGGTTTTTGTGCTGTTTTCATATTTCTTTGCTTTCTCACATGTTCTTCAGCTAACAGAAGGCTCTTTTCTTGCCTCTTCCTGTTGCAAAGCTTACACCCTCATTTTCTGCCCTCAGGGACCCTCTGCTTATTGGCAAAGCAGACATAATCAGTACATACAGAACTCATTGAATAATCAGTCTTTTCTCTGCTGAGCTTACCCCTTTGTTCACTTCCCTAGATCATTCTGTATGCATCATTCTCTCAAGTTTCTTTGCATGCATGACCATAACAAGATATTCTCATTGAAGAAAGGGAAAGAGGAAAGCAATGTCAATCATTCACACCCAGGTTTCTGGTTCTAGGCATATTTCTAGAATTCCTGTGGGTCTAACTACAGAGAGGTCTGTAAATGCTTGATTTTTCACTAATAACCTTTGTGGTTTCAGGTGGAACGGCTGATCCAGGAGCGTGGCTGGGAGTTCATGTGGAATGAGCGTTTGGGATACATCTTGACCTGTCCGTCCAACCTGGGCACTGGACTTCGGGCAGGAGTGCACATCAAACTACCCCTGCTAAGCAAAGTAAAGGAACTCTGGGGTTAGAGAGGGGTGTAAGTGTATGAATGGGGAGGGAAAAGGAGTGGACACTTCGAAAGAGCCAGATACATTATTCGAGCAGGTAGGAAAATTCTGTCTCTTGACCCTGCCTACAATCCCTGTGTCTAGGATAACCGATTCCCAAAGATCCTGGAGAACCTGAGACTCCAAAAACGTGGTACTGGAGGAGTGGACACTGCTGCCACAGGCAGTGTCTTTGACATCTCCAACCTGGATCGGCTGGGCAAGTCAGAGGTGAGGTACTAAGGAGTGAGGGTATGGAGAGATATAGGTCTACAGGAATTGAGAAGTGACAGTGAGTGAGCAGCAAGACTGTAATAGAATCTAAAATAAGATTCAGATTGGGTGGGGAAGCAACTGAAAATGAATTACCAGAGCAGGAGAGTCGGTCGATGCTAAAAAAAGAAACAGATTGTGGAAATCAGAGATCAAGGCTTAGTGTCCTTCAGGTGGAGCTGGTACAACTGGTCATCGATGGAGTGAACTATCTGATTGACTGTGAGCGGCGTCTGGAGAAAGGCCAGGATATCCGCATCCCTGCACCTCTTATCCACAACAAACATTAACTCCCCATCTACAGCAGGTGAATCAAGATCCCCAGGACTTCTGCCCATTTAGTGGTAGATGATTCTACTTGCCCTGGGCTTGTCCCCTCCCCCCATTCTAGTAAAGACTCCTTGCTATGCTCCAGCTGTCTGTGTTGTTTCTATTGGTTGGTTTAGGAGGAGCAGCCTCCAGGAAATGAAAAGAAGCAGTGGGTTTTTTTTTATGATGGAAGGAGACTCTAGAAACAGCATACCAGGAAGGCTGGTTCTCAGGTGGGTGGAATTAGAATTTATGCATATTCTTCACCAGCTTCCTGAGAATATTTAGGATGTACTTTATTCATTATGATGTAAGATTTCTCTCCACAGCAGTTTCCCTGCACTATAAAGACAGGCTCACAGCACATGATTAGGAAAGCTGATGGTTAGTGCTTGGGCCTAGCACAGTTGTGGCCAGTTCTAGAAGTCCTGGTCGCTGAGTTTCTACCTACAACAAGGCAAAAGCTAGAAGAAACATCACAATTTTGCTCCCCACGATCCACTGATACTTGGAGACTAGCTCTCCACTTGCAAGCCCCTTCACTTGAGGGACTTTCCTTGGGGGCCGGGTTCTAAGACCCAGACAGCACCAAATTAGGGCTTAGATTCTGGGTCAGGAGCCAGAGTCAGGCTGTGCAGTTGGAAACTCACTCTGACCTTCTGGACTCTCCCTTCATGCCGAGCCCCTGCAACAGCTTATTACTGCTCAGGAGTTAGGCCATTTACTCAGAAGTGACAGATAGGCTAAACTCTGGTGAGATGACATAGCTGGGTGGGGCTCAACACTACCTGGAGGCAGAGACAGGAATGAGTGTATCTGTGGTCTTCCCAGACCCCAGGCCGTCAAAGCTTGCAAATTTAGGGGCCAGGGTAACAAAAAAAATGGTTAAGAGAGGTGAGATCCACTGGGCAAGGTGGCACATGTCTGTAATCCCAGCAAAGGAGGATCACTGTGAGTTCGAGGTCAGCCCGAACTGCATAGTGAAACCCTGTCTCAAAAAGACAAAAGAATAAATAAATAAAAGTCAGATCCTAGATCTGCCTTGCAGCTGTTAAAGGAAGAAATGTCATAGGCTGGCCCAGTCCCTCCTCTTCAGACCTACAGTGTCTCTTCCATGCTCCCCAAGTATCCTACCACAGACCTTCCCTAATGTGTCTCCAGCCCCTTACTTAAATACTTCCTCAGACTTCTACTTTCGCAAGTACAAGACAGCCAGCCTCCCCACCTGCTCTTGTGCCAATTTCAGTGTCAGTCTCAGGCCCACAGTTAATGACTAGGCAAAAGATAACCAAGGAAGTAAGCCAGAACCTCCAGCCATCCCTCAGCACTGAAGACAGAGGCTGACCAGAGATTGCTTGGCTATGAAAGAGTAGGAAGAAAGGAAGAATTCAGACTTGAAGGATTGCTTCCTGTTATTTGCAGCTAATTCAGGACTTGGGCTTGTAGAACTATAGGCAGTCAGGTATCCCTTGTTTGTCTGCACAAGTTGGTACATGCTATGAAGGGAGAAAGGAAGCCTAGGGGGTTTGAGTGGTATTAAAATATGTCCAGAGAAGCAGGGTATGGTGACACATGCTTGTAATCTCAGCACTTGGGAGGCTGAGGCAGGAGAATCCTTTTAAGTTTGAGACCAGCCTGGGCTACAAAGTGAGCTCAAGGCCAGCCTGAATTGCATAGAGAGACCCTGTCTCAGAAAGACAATAAGCCAGCCATGGTGGCTCACTCTTTGTAATCCCAGCACTGGGGAGCCTGAGGTAGGAGGATCGCTGCAAGTTTGAAACCAGCCAATACTAAATAAATACATAAATAAATAAAAATATGTCCAGAGAGGTTTCTGTAGATGGAATGACCCTCCCAAACTGTGATGGAACAGGACAAGCAGGCCGGATCAAATGCCAGATTTACAGGGCTCAGAGGGTATTAGAACAATAAGCGACTAGGGAGGAGAAGACCCTCATTTATTTCATAGATGAAAGACAGAAGGTTGCCCTGATGTTTCCTGGCAGAGCTGAATTAGAATTCAGCCTTGAGCCTCTTTCTAGGCTTCCTCTTTCTAGGGATCTTCCCAACAGAGTTCCATGCCAAGCTAGACCTGAGTCCGCTAATAAGAGAAGGGTAAAATGAAATCCTAGATGAAAACCTTAATGGTTTATAAACTCCCAGGATTACAGAACCCTAGAACTAGAAGATACCTCAAAGATCAGTCCAGATGCAAAAATTTTGTAAAAGTCCAGAGAGTTCAGACTTCAAATTGCATTATTTGACACTCTCTCCTGTACATCCCGAAGGACATATGAGTATTTGCGTAGCTTCACCTGGAAAATTATCAGGAATAGGCCCTACGATTCCAGCTGTCAGAGTTGCTTTTTTGGGAGCAAGCTCCGCCCGTAAATCCCACATACCCACAGCTGTCTGACCCTGCTGTGCTCCATTTTGCTGCTTTTCTAGAAGATGCTTCAGGGCCTCTGATCCCAGAGCCTCCTACATAAGAAATAAAGGGCAGAAGGGAGACCTAGTCAGGGTCAGGGCCAGCTGCAGCCACTACAGTTGTACATCCTGCCTGTGTTTAGTAGTTTTCCCCAGATCCAAACTGAACTTCTTTTACCCTCCTTGGCCTGAGATCGCCAGAACCCGCTTACTCTTCCCCTTTATGCATTTACTCCCTTCCTGTTTTTTACTTCACTCTGGAGAGCAAAGAAACAGCCTCAATATTCAGAGTGAACACCGGGCATCCAACTTTCAAGCTCCGCAGCTCTGGTTTCATGTACTGGGAAACTGAAAGAACTTTAAAGAAAGGGACATGGTAGGAGTGGGGACTCGGGGGTCCAGCAGACATTAAACATGTGGATGGGCTGCCACCGATGATGGTGGTTAAGATGCTGGGTATAGGATAAGTTAGAACCTGAAGTTCCCAAATATCTATATTCAACAACAGGCTCCTGCCACAGCTACCATCCCTCTGTGGCAAAGGTCTATCGTAGACAGAATCCCTATGAGATGGGCAGCACGGTTGGTAGGGAGTCTGTTGTGTTCTGTCTATACCCAGAAATCTGACCCAGGGATCCATTGTGTTCAGCATTTTCTCTGAGATCAAGGTCTTATTTGAAGCCTAGAGAAGAGCATCAATGTATAACGCACTTCTGACTCAGAGTACCAGGACACCGAGCCCTTGACTTCCCCTCCCTGCTGCCCCCTAGTTAATAACCTAGGATAGTCACTGCCTCTGTACATTTTCTTAAACAGTAAATGATAGGAGCAGGCAGAAAACTGAAAAAGACTGAGAGTCAGAAAGACCGAGACTTAGAAATACTAAGAAGTGGAATCCATGGATTTCTTGGACTGCAAATGGTATAGATAAGAGGCATAAAATGGATTATCAAGGAACAGAATCCCAAAGGCAGATCTAGATAGGAACCTGTTTCACAGCAAGAAGGAGGCTGGGCCAGGAGGACAGGCAGAGAACACTGAGGGGCAAACACTGAGTTTGGCAGGGTGCACTCTTACCTGGTTTTATGGTGCCCTCTTGGCCAGGGAAGCCTGGTGGAGTGCCAGCAGCTGCTCTGAAGCTCTTTGCACCGGCTACACTACCAACATAATGCATGGACAGGCTGTTCACTAACAGGTCCAATTCTGGCAACTGGACAACAGGAGCACTCAGCTGAAACTAAGCCAAGTTGAGAAGGAAACTCAAGATTCCACATGCCCCAGACAAGATGTAATACAAGACCAAGGCCTGTGACCCTGTACTGGAGTGGATATTAAATAAATAGTCCTGGGCTGATTATCACCATTTGCTTGAAGGAAAAGAACAAACAAGAGTGACATATTTCAAGTCTTCCTGAAAAGAAATAACAATCCTACCTGATCTAATGATCTCAAAGCCCCCAACACTCTTATTACTGACTGCTAAGTTAGATAGAAATTAATAGAGCAGGATCAGGCCCCTGAGGAAGTCAATATGGAAGATGAGACACATCAAAGTTGTGATTGGAGGCAAATTGTAAAGAGAGTCCTCAAGGTGAAAATGTGATGGTCAGGGCTACAAGCCTCTTTAGAGTTAAACACAGCTTGAGATTATACAGTAACTAGCACTGTCCGGTCCAGTGAGATCAGATATTGCAGCAGACTCATACCACCATTCCTTTCTAGCAGTGCCTTCGTTCTTTCTACGTTAGAAGTTACAGGTAAGCTAAGGTAATGATGCAGGCAGTACACTCTTGCTATATGCCTCACTCCCCGATTAAATCCATATTAGCTACTCAACTACACTTGTAATCCTACAGGTAGTTTGACCCATAGTTATCCAAGTTGCAATCTTGCTGCATAAAATACTCTTGAATTCAACAGAATGACCCTCCTGTCATTCAACAGATTTTTCTCAATAAACTTTTCCTGCTCTTAACCTCCTTTGCTCTCAAATCCATTCTTCAGTATCTGGAGACACAAACTCTGCACAGTTGATGGCTAACAGAATGAGAATCACTTCTCGTGACCCTAACTGTTATTACAAAAATTTTTTTTGGTGTCAGGAATCAAACTCAGGATTTTGCATTTGCAAAGAAGTCACTGTGCTGCTGAGCTATATCCCCAGCTCCACATTAATTAAAAAGTTCTTATGAGAAGCTTGGGTTTTCTGACATATGGTCCAGGATCTTTCACCTCATCCAGACCATTGCGATTCTATAGCATTGCAGAGATTCTGCGTTGGCTGGAGGCAAAGACCAAGAGGGTGGTGCTGAACTGACAGAGCACCCAGCTGCCCTAGCTCTCAGCACCCAGATCCAGCTGGGAAACAAACAGCCTGACCTGTGTTACATTCAGAGGGCTGCCTCACACACAACAGCCTGGCCAAAAACAACCTGACTGAGCAGTGGTGGTGCCTGTGGCTGCACTTCCCTGGAAGGCACTCAGCCTGCAACTCGGGGAGGCCTCATTTCTAGTTCCTGCGCCACCTTAAGCTATGCTCAGGGAACACCAGATTGGCCCAAGCTCCTGTTTCCCTCTCAGGATGCCCAGCAAGGATGGTTCCTTTGGGGACATTTACCAGGTCTTTAACATCATCGACAAGGAGCAAGTGGCAGTATAGCTGTACTCTCAGAGGGTCA